TCATCCGTCACTTGTATCAATCCGTACCTCAACAACCTGACTCCATCAGTTTTATGTGTAGTGGAACACTTCTACGAAGAATACGCGATTGGTGAAAAATAAACATTTATTATTGTAATCGCTTTGTTTAACTGTACCAAAAACACTTCTTGCGCGCAACGTTCTTTTCGCGTTGCAGCCATTTTTCTCTATGTAATACCTACTTTCTCCTTCAATAAATATTCAAAAATGGATTTAATTTTTACTTATGTGACGGGATAGTATGGAACAATTATTGGTGATCATCGTCAATCTGGACTCGGTCACCACTAAATATGTATCATACACATCATGGACCTAACATCGAAATTTCCTTTCTAATACATTCTGAAGAAAACCGAAAGTGAAGAAACTCAATTAGTGAGCTGAAGTAATGTCAGACGGTTAACAGGATATTTTAAAGTTTATTTACTTCTAGTCGTAGCTTTGCCCACTTCTTCCTCCTAGGGGTGATACCGCTTCAGTCCTATTCTTAGAAAAGCCTTGAAAATCAAAAAACCTTTGGATGTTAAATATTTTCTTATCATTTTATGTTAAAAAATTATGTTTACAATTCGGTGGTGACCAGGATGAAACCGTAGCTAAAGAGTCAACGAAAAACTGGACTTAAAAATGTCCATCTTCTGGATACTGGAAAAATGAAAGAATTCAAGCTAACTCTTAGCAACAAGTTTCAGGCCTTTCATGATCAACCAAATGAACAAGAAACTACCCCTGAGACGAATTGAAAACTTATCACGCAATCATTAACTTCAGCATGCTGCGAGGTTTTCCGCCATCACATGGAATGGGATCTCTGTCGATACACTGGATAAGATTCAAGAAAGAAATAAAAGGGAGACAGTAATCAATAACAGTAAAAGCAGAACAGATTGTACTGGAACTTTTTTATGAAAAAAACATAATTCCTGACATACAAATACTTATTATTGAACAAGTGTAACAATAACTGTTTTATTGTACACCTTTTGTTTACCTGGACTAAAAGCCATAACTCAAGCGCCAACCTACCCAATCCTGTGACTTAATTGATCGCTCTTGTTATTTCACTGTCTGACTGTACACGAGATATCATTTTGATATCACGCGACTTCTAATCAATAAATATCGTTTTTCTATAACGCGACTATTCTTGGTTTCGATTCGTTTGGGAGTTTTCACTTGGCAATCATCCCAACAGCTACAAGATAATACCAAGAGAGGCTGCATATGCAGAAGCGAGCAGATAAGAGAAGAGTTGAACCAGAGGTGACAAACAAATATGTAGAACACCTTTCAATTAGGGAAGAAACCAAAGACATCTATACAATACAACGGAGAAGCTCGCTGCGAAACTTAATAGACCAGGGCAGCTAGTAAAAAACAGAGAAGACAAAGAAATCACCGAGTACCAAGAACAGCGAAACAGGTAGGTATGGCACTCTGAAGAACTCTAAAATAATCAAACTCTACTGAAACCATTCAACTTCTAAGGAGCACCTGTAGACCTCCTAATTGTTATTAACGCACCAAAATTCAGAGAAATCAATGAGGGATGTAAGTAAAACGACACAGCTTTAGATAACAACTTGATGATTACCAGGCTGAAATCTAGGTTCTAAACGAACTAAACAACTGGACAGACAGCAATAATAAAGTTAACTAACTTGATCATTAGGATAACCATATGCTAACTGTAAACGTAACGCTTATAACAAAATATGAACATTATTGTGTAAAAAGATTATCTGCTAAGAGTATACTACATCTAAATGACTTATTGATGAGGCGACATAAAACAAGGAATCGAAATTTACAACAAAATGTCTTTTGAATCAAACAACTTGTTCTCAAATGAATTTTAGCACAGTAAATAGGCACACTAAGCACAAAACGTGTTTTCAGGTATCAACATAAGTACAAACAGGACCACCATCAGCTACTAAGTCTGACATGCGATAACAATTCATATGACTAGTACCTAGTCTCATGCCGATTAATACAGTTAGACAGTTCTAAAACAGGACCTAGCTCAAGATCAACAGACTGAAAACAACTATATGATCGAGTTCCCGGAGTTCCAGTGAGAGTCCGTGACCACTGAAGTCCAGCGAAGCCGAATATGAGGCGGTTACTCCATCGAAGACAAAAGGAGCAGTGGCGTGATATTTTGGATTGATTGAAGTTAGATATCAACGACATTGAATCCTAGCTCAAAATTCTAGAGGTTAGGCGTTCCTACACAGGACTGCGATTCAAGACCCGTTAGCAGGATCATGAATGAACATTTTAGTGGTAATTGAGTCGAGATTGACTATGATCACCACTAAATACTGATTACAAACCCGTCACCGAGAAGACAAATAAATCTAGGGTAAAGAATACATTCGCTAGTGATTCTATGGTGTCAAAAGGACATCGAAAGTAAACCAGGAAAGTGGGCGAATTAAAGAGCAGCATGCAACAAGGAATGGCAGCAACACAGACAGAAAGTTGCGCGTAAAGAGTGTTATAAACAAAAAGTAATTTGAACAATCACTGGTACAATTGGTGATAATAATGATTGTTTCTATTAAACCAATCGCGTTCTCTTCATCAAAGTGTTCCACTATAGCAGCCCCTCTAGGAAGGAGTTTACACTCTCTATATGTAGCGGTTTCGTTCATGGGACTGACTGGCCAACGTGCGATTGTAGGGCGGGAGGGTTGAAGAACAGAAAGCGACCCATGAGGCTCGAGTTGTCACCGGTCTTGCACGGAGAAAAGGTACCAGCGTCAATGTGCCATGTTGTCTGCTCGAGGCAGTATTCGCATGTGTTCAGACAATCGTTGAACGTAATCTGATTTAATAAATTTATCACTGATCCGTGATGTGAGAAATTCCCCGGGCAGAAGCAATGTCATGCCATATACCGATTCAGTGGTGAATATCTGCCTTTAAACTCGTTCTGATACCTAGAAGGACGAGCGGTAAGGTTTCGTACCAGTTGTTGTTTTCGTGTGCTCGAAGAGCGTTTTTCAGTTGGCGATGAAACTTTTCAACTAAACCATTTGAAACTGGGTGGTAGGCGGCAGTGCGTCTGCACTCCGTACCAAGCAGCCAGGTTAGCGAGGAGAATAATTCGGACTCGAATTGTTGTCCTTGGTCAGTTGTGACAGTCGAGGGACAACCGTACACAGCTATCCATCGTTCTACGAAGCGATGAGCAACTGTTTCGGTCATAATAGAAGTGATGGGAATAGCTTCGGGCCATCTTGTAAAACGATCGATGCACTTGAGTATGTGATCATGCCCATGCGATGGTGGCAGTGGTCCTACAATGTCAATATGAACGTGATCGAAGCGAGCATCAGGCGTAGCAAATGTGCCGATGGGGGCGGCTACGTGCCTGTGCACTTTTGATCGTTGACATTGTAAGCATTGCTTTACCCACATACGGACATCTTTGTTCATGGAAGGCGAGACGTATCGTGCAACGATGAGACGTAATGTGGCTGCAATACCTGGATGAGGCAAACCATGAAGGGCATCGAAGACGAGACGACGATAAGTAGAGGGTACGATGGGTCGGGGTAGGCCAGTAGAGGTATCACATAGGATAGTGCCTGAGCTAGTAGCTATGGACACTTCCTGACACTGAAGGGAAGTAGTTTGTTGTGCTTCTAAACAAGAGGGATCATTTGCTTGGGCAGCGGCCATAGAAGGAAGATCGAGCACTGTTAAAGTAACTGCATTCACTTGAATACGTGACAGAGCATCGGCAACGTAATTCGACTCGCCTTTAATATGACGAAGGTCTGTCGTGAACTGAAAGATAAAGTCCAAATGTCTGCTCTCTGGCGGTGATTAGCGGTCAGACTTGGTATGCAGAGCATACGTTAGAGGCTTATTGTCGGTAAAAAGGATAAAGTCACTAACTTCTACTGCGTGCCATAAATGTTTGATGGCACTGCAGGCTGCTGGCAGTTAGCGACCAAAAGCGCTATATCTCGTCTCAGTTTGAGTGGGACGTCGTGAGAAAAATTCGAGAGGTTGCCAACTCCCAGAGATGTTATGTTGCATGACGGCTCCTATAGCAAAATCTGATGCATCAACCGCTATACTAAGAGTGGCTGATGGGTCACGATGAGCTAAACCTTTTTTATCTATGAAAACGCAGTGGGCACGTCACGTGTAACTTAAATTACTCGTTCGCCTCAGTGGTTTCATCCGCGCTTGTATTGCTTTCTTGATATCTTTTTAATATCACGAGACCATCAATCAATACACCTCATTCACCATTCACAGCTGGTCTTTTGATTTTTGGCCTTTTCTCGCGACAAGTAGTCTCAATTCACTACATTGTTGGGCGAACACACTAGGCATGCATCAACTACTGCTAAATCTGCCAAAACCAAGTCACTTACGGTGAGTCTGTTATTTTTCTACCCACATCGCCTACCTTTTTAACAGATATTGCTTATAGTATCTCGATATTTTTTAATTTATATACTATGTCCGAAACAACTTTCTACAACGGTGAATAGACTGAAAGATGACTACGATATAAGAGACTCCTAATTACAGGTTATAAATTTTAGACCTGTTGCTGTTATTCGCCACGATCTAGAAGTATTTCACTACACACTACTGATGAGTACTTTACATGTTCTATACCTGGTGCTCCAAGGTTTTTGATGGTCGTCTAACATTCATCAATATAATCTGATCGAATGGCACTCAAAAAGGAAGGTAAAGGGATATTTGTACCTTCACTGAAAGCCTTATGAAATTTAGGATCAGTAAATGAAGCTGATAATATCAACGCCTTTTTATTTCCTTTTTTCCTGATTCATTTTCTCATACTATCGCCAACTTTCTAGAGTAACGAGAATTGGAACATCTCAGACCTATGAAAAGTTGTAATGTTCTTGACTTCGAGACTCCGGCTCAATGAAATCAGTTGTTTTACCCTATAATATATTGAAAGGTTTAAATCGATAGACGAGCACAATATGATTCTGAGCGTTACTGATTATCGTTATCAATTTCCGACACTTAGGGGACGCTTGACCGGTAATCGCCGTAACGTCAGAGAGTATTTTATTTCTAACTTTTATGAAAAATTTCTGGACTATTTTAAGCCCTTAATTGTTCTACTTCAACATTACGGTAACTTGTCTACCTCCCTTCAAAGTCTGCAAAATAGTTACCTTCATATACCATCAAGAAATTTTTTCATCAGAATCTGGTAAGCGCTCAGTCTGGTCAAAAGTAGTTTTTTATTGGTAGAAAGAGACAATAGAATATACATTCTATTCGATTAAATAATGGGTCATTCGGATGACGCTATACTAAATTTATTTACTGTGTGTAACAAATTCAAAGCTTGCGCAAATGACGATAATGTATTGCTCCCTGAATATTGCGAAGCATACATGGAAGTTTCAAAGTAAGCTAAATGGTCTCACATGTTTTCAGACTTCTCGCATACTTTGGAAATCTCTTCTATTTCGTGTCCAGTGATGTCAATCATAAAATTTCAGAACTCCGTGATTTATATGCTGCAGATAAGATAAACTATAGGTCTGTCGAACAAATGGTTCTTTATGAGGAAAAGCAAAATGAACATCTTCCACTTAAAAAGCGGAAATGTGTCGGGTCCAGAACACTACTTCGACTCCATCGGGCTCTTCTCTTTGTTATTGATTTAATGAAAGAAGTTTGCATAGGTAAGTTTCGAGTCTTCTGATTTTTAAATTATCAAGATGATCGATATTACTTATTTTGTGGTTAGATGTAGATAACGTGGAGTCCAGCACGAACCTCCGTTATCTCACGTTGCAGCATCGAGTTCCACATCGATGAAGTTTAAACCGCACGTATGACTTCAGAAAACAGTCACCGATCCACAAGGCTGATAACCGATTCTCTAGCTACCTTCATTTTTCCAAGGCTCGATTTTTATTTGTTTATATTGAAGCAGACGATAAACAGACATTCACAGAGTATTCTAGCCACTATAATGAAATTTATGAGGTTGCTGAGATACCTAGGTGTGTTGACTCATATTTCATGCAAAAGTACTTGTAAGCTATCGCTTACTGTATTGTCTTATCGCATTGCTTTCTTCAAACGCTGTTTAGAGAAAATAAATGCCATATGGTAAAAAATTGTCACTTCTCAAAGTAAGGTACAGTCGGTTACTGCAATTGCTTCATGAACTACACGTTTGAAAGTTTATTAGATGTGCAACTTGGGTGTTATGGCTTCACTCCTACCCTTTTTCCACCGGACTTGACTTAGTGTTACTCTACAATGGGCAGCGTTCAGACCGTACAGTGTATTGTAATAGCTCATCATGTTAAACTATTTAATTTCGGCAATTACTTTGTCGACCCTACGTCTACTTTCTACATGTGTTACTGACTCTGGATTGTGATGAAATTATATACTGTTCAATACCCATTCAAATGTACGAGATTATTATTTTCTCTAATATCAAAAGTTCCACCGAAATCTGTCGCTTAGTTCTCTGTACACTTAGCCACACTCGTTTACTTATTATAACTCAAATCCCATGCTTATGATTTGTTCCTAATGTATTGTCATGTTTCTATGAACTTTTATTCAATCAGGTGTTATCTCATACGTCCTAATTGTCCTAATAACGAGATATATCAATGTACTTAGACTCAAAGTGATTTCAAATATTATGAATGCAACGTATTCCCAGGCAGCATTAAAGATAGTTCAGTAAACTATGGTTATGGAAATCTGCTATACCCTTTTGGTAGTTCTTAACCAATAATATATATATTAGATATTCAAAAGGCAGAAGTAGACTGCAAAGGAACGTATCTATTACAACCCTTGTCTGCATACTTTTGTTAAAAGAGAATAATTTATGTAAACTGGAGGTTAGCTTTTACTATCGCTCAGTTTATTTGCAAAATTTTATAGCGCCACCTGATGAACAATTGAAGACTATTGCTCGGTCAGTATACGACAAAACGCTGGCCCAGTATCATCCGTGGCCCATTAGGAAGGCTGTTGGAGTGGCTGTTTATGCTCTTCCTACACGGGAACATTTAGTACACCATATTGTCCAATCTCAACCCCCTGAGAGTGGACTGGTTACACAAGATCAATGTGTGGAGTTCCTTACTTCACATACTTTACCTGTAATGCGCACAATATATAACAGTATTCAATCTATTTTCGAAAAACACGATATGCTAAATTTACCATAATCATCTTGATGTATACTTTTTAGAACCTGATATTTTCCTACCTTTAAAATATTTAAAATAGATAAATATTGCTTGACGAAATAATAATTATTTTACTTTCACAATTAGCACCTAATTTGTCTTTGTTAATATTATTTCTCTGTATTCTCAACTTATGATGCTTTGTAGTTTCCAATGACCGCATTTTAATCTTTGTAAATCGGTTGATTTTGGGCTTTTTTGTAGCCTTTTTCATTCAAAGCACCTAAAACTACATAGAAACGAATGTTCTTCATTTACTTGTATTTATTGTATGATAAAAATAGAGCTCCAACAAACAAAATCGACAGTGTTTGCTATATTTTTTTATCGAACTAGGCGGAAAAATCTTTAAAAAGGTACTAGGATACCCATTCATTTCATGTAATTAAGTGCAAGATCTAGAACTTTTTCGACATCTTAACGAGTAATTTCATTACATATTGGATACTTAGAAACTTGTCTGCGTCTTCTAAACTTAGCGAAGTGATTAATGTTTACTTTCCTATGAGTAGTCGACAACACTAGAAGTTTCCACTCACACCATACAAACATTTGTTTATTCCTTGAGAATACGTTCAAAAATCAACATTATGTTTACTATTAATGCTCATTTTAGTAAGCGAATCGAATCAACAATTGATGTGGTTAAAGTTTGGGGCTACACGAATGATGCCCGAGCGTAGCTGCTACCTTGACGTGGTGATCGGGCTTGCCTATCGTGATGACACAACCAAGCCATACTGGCTGGAACGTACGTTCCTTTAAGTTCTGCCATTCCAAGTAGGTCGATTGAGGAACGTTGAGACTAAAACCAGCAACTCAAGGTCTGAGGGTAAGTCGTAATACTGACTGTAGGGTCAGTCAGTCAAATGCATCGTAGAACTCTGTACGTAAATATATCAGTTCAAGTTGCCATACCACATTAGCACAGAGGTATAGTTGTCAATTCAAATCCCATAGTAGTAGAGGTAGTAAAAGTATTAGAAATAATCGGAGAGATTAGGGTTCGAAGATGTTATTCAAGAAGAATAATTCAGTGAGGTAAATTGAAAAAGAGAAAGATAGAGGTGATGAAGAATCCAGAAAATTAGAATTTCAGAGAACACAAAGAGTGGATGCACATGCACCCTTGCAAACGGTTTTGAGCCATATCACTCAGGGTCTCTAACCATCGGTTACTTCCGTCTCGTGGACCCCAACCAGGTAGCCTACATCTACGGACATGGCTCAGTCCACTTGTCAGTGAATTCATGGATTTGTGTTATGTTTTGGTCTGGACTCTTCTAGCATTCTTCCAACCTACACCACAAAACATCGCTCGTCGAGGCAGTTGGTCGTTGCGCATTCGTGACACATGTCCTAACCAACAGGATGCAGTAGCAGGGCTTACAGATATACGGAGCGTAAACCAAGTTGGTTCTTTAACTAAACGTGAAGTTAAATTAACCACTGTACTTGGATCCTGTGTGAGCGTTTCGGAGACGCAGCATACATCAATGGCTTGAGGTCCTTCAGTCCTTGCTAAGGAAGCTTGTTGTCCTATTCAACACAATGTATGGACATGAAAATCTCAAATATGTTCAGAACGGGGTTTCATGGGATTAGAAATATCGTTCCGTATACTCGAAACGTTTTTATCAGTGGCATGAGGTAGCAAATGAATGAATACAGGGTTGGTCGTGGAGTTAAGAGAGTTAATAGGTGTAGGAAGGATTTAATTGTGACCAAATCGCTCTCGTGTGCCGTTATAAATATAAAGATGGATGTTATTTCCGGGCTGCCTACACCGTGGAAGGGTATTTCTTGAGGAGCCTGAAAAGGAAATTAGACTAGCGTTATTATTAGAGACATGAGAGTGTGACCTCAGAGCCAATGTGACTAGTTGAGGCCGGTAATGCCCGGCCATTTTATGGAAAGTTTGTAAATTGTTGGCTCCGCTTTTCAATTGGCCTTACCACCGGGGTCAGAAATCGGCGGTGACGATTTTTAGGTCAACATTTTCAAACCTCTTCCTTCCTCGTAAGAGGGCAACATCGCTGCAGATGCTGGTCGTCGTAGGGAAACATCTCAATGCTGTCACACGCTTCTACAGTCGGCATCAATCGTAGCTGCTACCTTGACGTGGTGGTCGGGTTGGCCTATCGTCATGACATGGCCGAGTTTTATTGGCTAAAACATATGTTTCTTTAGGTCTTACCATGCCAGGTTAGTCGATTGCAGAATGGTAAGACTGAAAGCAACAACTCAAGGTTTGAGATCAAAATCGTACTGTTGATTGTAGTGGAGTGTGACAGTAGTAAGCTCCTAGTCTTTACGAAGTTGAGAAAGCTATAGAAAATCTGAATCAAGTTAGGGCAGCAGGTCCTGATAGGTTTACCCTTGATATTTTTTAGGATGGTGGTCCAGTTTTAACAATTAGATTGACCGAGATCTTAGGTAAAATCTGGGAACTGGGCGCAATACCATCTGACTGGTCTCAGTCACTAATTGACCCAATTTAGAAGAAAGGACACAAGTCTTCTTGTGACAGTCATAAGGGAATCAGTCTAAATAATATAGTTTCTAAATTGTTAGCCTCGATTATCCTTAGACACCTAACTAGAGCTCGTGAAGAACAGACTAGAGAAAACCAGGCTGGTTTTCGACCTGGACGTGGCTGTATAGACCACATCTTCACACTATGACAAGTCCTGGAACAAAGACACGTTTGGGCGTCCTACAATAGTTGTTTTCCTGGACCTTAAGGCGGAATTTGACTCAGTGGATCGTGAGGTTTTGTGGAAGTGTCTGCCATTGAAAGGTGTACTTCAGAAGTACATTAACCTTATACAAGCTCTCTACTAGAACAATGGTCGAATGAGAGCTGATGGCGAATTTTCATCCGGATGTCCACTTTCTCCATTCTTGTTTAATTTTATCATAGACATGCTCCTAGATATAACCTTATCCTCGTCTGCATTTTCGGGAGTAGATTTTTTACTAGGGTGCTCGCTTATTGATTTAGAATATGCTGATGACATAGTCCTACTTGGTGAAGACGCTGAAAAACTGCAGAGTCGTCTGACCACCCGAAACAACAATGCAAGCATGTTCGGGATGCGGTTTTTCCCCTCGAAATGCAAAATTTTGCTTCAAGATTGGGTTGCATCGGCACCTGAACTAGTGATAGGGAGTGAAGTAGTCGAGTGTGTAGACCCCTTCACTTATCTCGATAGTCGCATCAGCGCTGGTGACTGACGAAATCCCAGCACGGATACAGAAGGCTCAATTGGCGTTTGCCAACTTGCGTCACTTATTTCGTAGGCGAGATATCCGTTCGCTAACCAAAGGTCGAGTGTACTGTGTAGTAGTTCGCTCCGTTCTAATATATGGATGCGAAACATGGCCAGTTAGATTAGAAGATATTCGCAGGTTACTAGTATTCGATCATAGGTGTCTTCGAAGCATTTATCGTGTAACGTGGGACAACCGAGTAAGCAATGCTGTTTTTAGGAAACGGGTGCTAGGTAAGTATGGCAGATCAATAGATGAAGTATTGAAACTTCATTAGTTGAGGTGGTTGGGACATATGTCAGGAATGCCCAACAACCGACTGCCTCGATGAGCGATGGTTTATGGTGTAGGAGTAGGTTAGAAGAATGCTAGGGGCGGCCAGACCAAAACATGGCAGCAATCCATGAAGTCATTGACAAGTGGACTGAGTCATGTCCGTAGATGTAGGCTACCTGGTTGGGGTCCACGAGACGGAAGTAACCGATGGTTAGAGACTTTAAATCACATGGCTCAGAAGTTCTATCTTATAAGCAGTTTTTGAATTAGAGAGATTCGTACTTCAGTCTATTAAAATTGCAAATCAAAAACTAAATATAAACACTTTCAAATCATAGTATATGTTATCACGATATTATTTAACAGAACAAGCAGAGTAAATAACATTACATCATTGAAGGAAACCAAACATTCGGCGAGACTATAATTTATGGACGAACTAATCACATTGGAGATGACAAGTCTTCGATTTTGGCGCGGAATTTATCCATCCATATAGTTAAATAGCACTGACATTATAGCTGATATCAGTTCCTGATGAAAACCTCGAACTCTAATTCCTAACGCTTACTTCCATCTCTAAATGTTTTTCTTAATTCCTCACACTAATTTATGAGCCACTTCTAAACCTAGTAAGTAGGTGAATATTTTCAAGATCAATTTGGCATTGCTCGAAGTTCATCCATAAAATAAGAGTCTCACCAAACATTGTTATGAAAAAATCACCTAATATTTATCAACAAAATGTTCGAAAGTGCTGGATACGAAATATGACCATAGCCAGAAATCAAGACGATTGAAGAGTTTCGTTTCTTAAATTTTGATAATATTTTAACATTCAATAAAAAATTAAACTATAGGAGATTGTCTTTTGATTTATAACTCTATGTACTAATTGCGTTAACTAATTGATAATGTACTTAGCTCAATAGTTGTGTCATAATTATTCGTTTTATTTTCAATTTGCAAACATTACAAAAACACCATTTATTTTGTACTTTTTTGTTGTTAGTTTTTAGCACTTAATTAAGGGTTTCACATTAATTTATTTATCAGACTATCAACTCAACAATTGAATTTAGTATAAAATCAACAAAACACAGAAGCCACCACCGTATAATAGAGGAAAATCACAAGTTTTTTGTAATGACTAAATAAATGGAATACAATCGTTGGGGTTTTCGTGAAACTGAATTCCTGACATCTCGGTGGTGAATGACAACTAGAACTTCCTAGAGAATTACGCTTAAGCACTTATGAATCAATTAATTACAACCGAATATTCTTATCCATTTGAACATATGATAAACTCATATTACTGCTACCAACCATCCAATTTCGCTTGGATCGCTAGTCACCTAAGATAATAATGACTGTGATTTTGAAATTCCTAATGTGTTGAGTTCGAATAGCACAGATCTTAGAATTTAACTCACGTTTCTATCCGGTAACTGACTTTTCAGAGGCCCGGCTGATTACATTTGAGTATATAAGAGCATTTAAATAAGTCGCTTGAATTCAGATCCCTTCAATGTTTCTTGAAGTCTTTAAAAAGTTCTCATAATATCAGTCTTATCACAGAGTAACTCAACATTTCAACCTAAATACCAAACAGCGTTACGTTAATTTATCATAGTGTAGTGACTAATATTATATTCGTCTAGTCCGTTACTACTGGTCAAATATTGTCGATCAAATTTCTATGTCGTTATTAGTTGAAGTTAAAGGGCATCAAGTGCCTTATACCGACACATTAGATGGTTGGAAGCAGCCGGTATGAAACAAAACGTT